TTATGTACTGACAGACATAAAACCAACGTTTAACCTCGCACAGAAGTGCATCGACTCAAGTTGCCACACTGCGCAGCAGTATCACAAGAACAAGTGGATAGAAAAAGTTGGATATCAAAGAAGACAGGGGTTAATAAAGGGAGGAATTTAAAAATGAAGGTTGGTTAAAACATTCAAGCTTGAAAAAACATCAGAATGAGAGAGTACATCTATGCCGTTGCAACCAATATGTCACCAACTATGTCACCAAGAGTCTACAACTATTGATTCCTAAGATATTGGAGACCACAGCCAGGTAGTCTACACTTCACTACATGGCTCAGACAAGTAACTGGGAACGTTCTGGACTGGTGTCGTGCCTTGGTCAGGCCACCGTGATCCTTCTTCCAAATTAGTCCTACTTTCCTTGGGACTGCACTTCGAGGTCGGCGGTGGCTCGGTATGCGCTACCAAGCTACTTAGATGATCAAATGATCAAAGTACGTACAACGGGTTTGTTCCAATCCTCCCTGACCCATCCCCCCACTTATTTTAGTTGCTTGTTATCACTGAAATGCGTCTCTAACAGTAAGATACTTTTAAAGACTTTAGAGTTATTTGTGGGGACCCAATTAGTAGGACTTATCTGAAATCACTGTGGAGATCTACTGCACTCAGTTCAAAGAACAAGATCCAGATTTTCAACACTAATGTCAATTCAGTGCTGCTATATGGTTCACAAACTTGGCGCGTCATGAAAAGCACTTCCAACAAGCTACAGACATTCATCAACAACTGCCGCCAACGCCCACTTGATACTGAAGGTCAGATGGCCAGAAAGAATAAGCAACAAGGAACTCTGGTTGGCTGCCAACGAACCAACCAAAAACCTATCACCCGACAAATATGCGGACAAAAGTGGAGATGGATTGGGCATACACTGAGAAGGCCGATTGAGAACATCACACGCCAGGCCAGGCCCTCGAGTGGAATCCAAAGAGGGAACGAGTTGGGCGTCCGAGGGTGACATGAAGATCAAGTGAGGAAGAAATGAAAGCTTATGGGCAGACGTGGAGCCAGGTTTAAAAGACTGGAGAGAACAGAGTGCAATAAAGGCGTGTTACTGAAGCCCTATATCCTCGCCTGGTTAACTAGTTCACTAGTAACTAGCCGGTCCTAAGCCTGGGTAAAGAGGGAAGGTTGAGCATAGGGCTAGCAACCCTACCCCGTAAAACAAATCTAACCACTAAACAAACTTCAAAGCACAAACAAAATATAAAAAATGAAAACAAAATTATTCCTCACTGGAATCGGAGAGGCCAAATGACGCCAGTTGGTGAAAGCCTTCGGGAAGCCAATTGGCCGATGTGTCTACCCTCCCTCGATGGAAGTGAAAGTAAACGTGGGGACATGGAATGTCCACACCATGTTCGAACCCAGCAAGGCAGCCCAGATTGCAAAAGAGATGAGAAGGTATAGTATTGAAGTGTTAGGAATTTGCGAAAGCAGATGGAATGGGAGTGGAGTCTTCAAACTGTCAACTGGAGAATCAATAATCTATTCCGATATTGTCACCCAGATGACAACCATGGGCACACTCAGTTTTGGAGTGGCTATCATGATGTCCCCAAGAGCATCGAAGGCTCTCATACAGTGGGAACCAATCTCCTCATGCAGGATCATGACAGCAAGATTCAACTCAAAAGGAAGGAAGGTCACAATCATACAATGCTACGCTACACTAAGCACCCACAAATAATGCAGAGCAAGAGAAAAAGGAGGAATTCTACAGACAACTGCAATCAACACTGGACAAGACCTCAGTTGGCGATATCAAAATTCTAATGGGCGACATGAATGCCAAACTCGGAGCAGACAACACAGGAAGAGAACTAACCATGGGTAAAGAAGCGCTAGGTGAAATGAACGAGAATGGAGAATTGTTTGCACAATCCTGTGCATTCAACGATTTGGTGATTGGAGGCAGTGCGTTCAAGCACAAGGATATCCACAAAGCGACATGGATTTGATTTCACCGGACACCGGCAAACCCTACAGTAAAAATCAGATCCACTTCATCTCAATCTCAAGAAAATGGAGACGCAGTCTACTTAACACAAGGTGAAGAAGAGGAGCAGATGTAGGTTCACACCACTCACTGTCTAGTGCAAGGAACCTACCTTCAAAATCAAGTTAAAAGCCTTCAAGGAAGCTGGTGATAGACCTCAATTCAAGTACAACACTCGGAAACTGAAGGATGAAACTAAAAAGGAGATCTTCACGGCAGCCATCAAGACAAAATGGGAGATATTGAGGAACATCCCTGAAGAAACCTGTGTGGAAGAACACTGGAAGTCTTTGAAAGAGATGTGGAAAGAAACCTGCACAGCCGTATTAGGAAGGAAGAAGAAAGAAGACAAGGAATGGATCTCAATGGATACATGGAAGCTGATAGAGGAGAGGAGGATGGTGAAGCAGAAGATAAACCAGTGCAAGGATGCTCAACGACAAGAGGAACTGAGTACAATGTATAAAACAATACACTGCACAGAAAGACAAAAGGCACTTCTACGAAACACTGTCAACTGAAGCAGAACAGGCTGCCGGCTGGTAGGAGAGACCTGACAAAATTGTTTCAAATAACCAGGTTACTATCTGGGAAGAGATCAACACAGATGAAGCCAATAAAAGATGAAGAAGGAAATTTAATTACGAAAGAAGAGAAACAAAGGAAACAATGGGCCAACTACTTCAAGAAGCTCTTGAATCGATCACCACCACCACCTGTACTTCGTCCAGAAATACCACCTACAGCCCAGTCACAGAACTACAAGTGAACATAAATCCTCCAACAAAAGTGGAAGTCCTGAGTGCCATAAAGCTACTGAAATGCGGGAAAGCAGCAGGACCAGACGGGATACCGCCAGAAGCGCTGAGAACAGACGCAGAGACAACAGCAGACATGCTCACACCACTATCGCAGAAGTTCTGGAAGGAAGGGAGGTACCTTGTCAATCTCCTGAAGGGAGACCTCAGTGTTTGCAAGAACTGGTGAGGAATCACTCTCCTGTCCACCCCAAGTAAAATATTAAGCCGCATCATCCTGGAGAGGCTCAAGGATGCACTGGATTCAAAACTACAACCGGAACAGGCAGGCTTCAGAAAGTACAAATCATGTGCAGACCAAATTGCAACGCTTCGCATCATCTTATCATAGAACAGAGCATAGAATGGCAATCAGCTCTCTACCTTAACTTCATCGACTTTGAGAAGGCCTTTGACAGCGTCGACCGAGAAGTAATTTGGAAACTGCTTAATTACTACGGAATACCACAAAGCTTTATCCGCCTCATTCAACAATTATATGAAGATGCCACATGCCAAGTAATTCACAATGGGAAGCTCACTGATGCCTTCGAAGTGAAGTGAAGACAGGAGTGAAACAAGGTTGCCTACTATCCCCCATGATATTCCTGATTGTGGTCGACTGGACTGCATCATGCAGCAAACAGTGGGGAGCGAGAAGAGGGGGATGCGGTGAACTGCGGAAAAGGACCTAGAAGACTTGGATTTCGCCGATGACTTGTGCCTGATGTCACATAAACTTGAAGATCTACAGGCAAAAACTAACAAGTTGACAGAAGAGGCGAGGCAGCGAAGACGGGACTTCAAGTGAATATAGAGAAGACAGAGGTGATGAAGATACCGCACCAACAACAACAACAAACTCCAGTCACCATCAACGGGAGGAACTTAAAGGAAGTAACCTCCTTCACCTATCTAGGAAGCACTGTTTCAACTACAGGCGGCACGAGCACAGATGAGGATGTCAAAGTCAGCCAGAATCGGAAAAGCAAGACAGGCGTTCATTAGCCTGAAACCAGTGTGGAGATCTTCTGCACTCAGCATGCGGAACAACATCCGGATTTTCAACACCAACGTCAAGTCAGTGCTTCTGTATGGCTCAGAGACTTGGCGCGTCACGAAAGGGATTTCCAATAAACTACAGATATTCATCAACAACTGCTTACGCTCGCTACTGAAGATCAAATGGCCAGAAAGAATAAGCAACAATATCTGGGAACGAACCAACCAAGAACCTATCACGCAACAAATATGCAGGAAGAAGTGGAGATGGATTGGCCATGCACTGAGAAGGCCGACTGAGGACATCACGCGTCAGGCCAGTCACTCGAGTGGAATCCCCATGGGAAGCGACGAGTTGGACGTCCGAGGGTGACATGGAGGAGGTCGTGCGAGGAGGAAATGAGAGGTTGTGGGCTGTCGTGGGACCAGGTTCAAAAGATCTCAGAGAACAGAGGTCACTGGAGACGTGCTACTGAAGCCCTATGTTCCATTAGGAACCCAAGGGATTAATAATAAATAATAATAATAATAATACTGAAGCCCTATGTTCCACTAGGAACACGAGGGATAATAATAATAAAGATTTACGTACCAGGTTAATGAACTTGGATACTAAGTTAATACCTACTGGATAAAAATATCTCTCCTAAGTATTGTGTCATAAAGTAAAAAACAAACATTACAGGCATGATCCAACTACACACTTGCTGGTTGTTTGCTGCCTAACGACTTAGTGGATACTGCAAACAAAATTGAAGCTGAGCAGTAAGACTTAAGGAATTAAAATGGAAGTTGTTACTAGGATTTAGGGATTTTAATTCAATGTCCTTTAGTAATCATATGACAAGTAATTCCTTCCTCGAATCAAATTTACCATCGGAATATCGCATAAGACTTATTGAACATATATCGCATGTTATGAAGAAAATCCATTCAGTAAATCAAAGCCTTTTAGAACGACGCTACAGCCATCTCTTAGCGTGCAAGTCACTGAGATGTCATTTGATCGTCTATGAAGAACGCCTAAATTTTATAGTTACACTGAAAACCTCAACAACCGATTGGTACTTAGCTTAGTAAGGAATTCTTATGAACAGACATCACTGGTGTACAAAGTTTTCAATATATTTCAGTCAGATAAAAATGAACCTTACTTCGGATTTCCTAAACTAGTGAAGTCTTATATCCGTATCAGCTTAGTACCGCAAGATGTTGAAATGGAAGCGGATTGCTTAGTATTCAATATCTATGTAGATCCAATATCTTTTTACAAGCTACTGCAAACCAACTGATTTCTTCTAGCTCGCTTCTAGTTCTTGCGCAATGGTTCCGATAGTGGATTCCGATGCAGTAGGTCTACCCACTCGACTTATGTAGCTCTGGTTAGCCTGACTGACAGTTGGATGTTGGCTGTGTTTGTAGGGAGTATGTTGTTGTTGTTGTTTTTCAGAAGACTGTTGTGCAGAGGGGTTTCTCAAGTGTCGTAACAGCAGACAGTTGGTTGGACTGGTTGCAAAAAGAAGGGAGAAAATATTTCCAGAGAAATCAAGAGAGAGGAAGCTGGAAGAAAGAGAAATAAAAGAAAAGAGGATTAGGTGAAAGGAAGCGGAAGGGATGAAGAGACCTCGGTAAATTCATAGGAGATCGGTGATAGGGAGAGCTTTTAGTAAAGTATGAGAACATAAAGTCGGTAGGAAGAGAGGGGGCAAATAACATTATAGGACGACTTATGAGAATAGAGGTAGCAACTCTATCAGTAGTAGATAGTAACTGGAAGGGACGTCTGTCGGGAAGTATGAGGCTGAGTCAAGTCCGCAATGATAGTAATGTTACAAAGTATTTGTTAATGGGTTGGCTGTGCTGCGTTAGTAGGTTTTGTCAGCCTACTCCATATCCCAGCTAAATGAGCGCAAACCGTGCGTCGCTGCGTAACTGACCAACCTCTTCTTGAAGTAGTGGCAATCTCGTCATGCAATGCTTTCCAGTGGCCGCAAACTCGCAGACAGAAGAAGTATGAGCATACACGAGTTCTCGTCCTTTGGCGGGCGATTCCCCTTGGGTTACCACGAGGATCACTACAGTGGCCGTTTGGTGGGATTCCACTGTTCGGATGACTTGGGCTACTTAGTATTTTGCAAGCCGTAATCAAGCCACCACGTAATCTGCGGTAGCTTAGAGAGTAGAGTCCCAGATCTTTCGGTCTCTCCTAATAGGGTTATCGTCTCATTCCCACGGTGTCATTTGTAGCTCTTCTTTGGACTTTCTGCAAGTGGTCCACGTCTCCTTCCAGATATGGTGGTCCAGTGACGTTGAGGACACTCAAGCAACGTTGTTTGCAGGTCTTGTGCAGCTTCAAGAAGAGTTCCAGAGTGAGGGGAACTAGTCTGCGCATGAACAGCAGTACTGCGTAGGCTCACTAGGCACCCCCTGGATAACTGGAGCTTATGTCTAGTTTGTCAGTCGGTATTTGCGCCGGGTCTTCCCCGTGGTGGTGTGGGAAAGTTGTGTGCCTTCTGAGAGTCTAGGGCGCGGAGAAATATGGCTCGGCACCTATCCAGATTAAATGCTAGTCCATTAATGTCCATACACTCCGCAAGTAATCTGAGATCAATTCGCAGTGCTCTCGATTATGTTTTGGATGTCACTGCTCTCCAAAACTAAACGTCATCAGCGTAAAGTAGAATTGTGGAGCTGAGGTTCAGTGGAAGGTCTTTCATGAAAAGAATGAATGGCAGTGGGTCTAGAATCACCCCTTGCGGTACACCAGATGATATACTCCAAGTCGAGCAAACTCCGCTGGCTTTCATGAGGAACTGTCTGCCGTCTAAATAGTCCCGTAGCCAGGAGAGCGCTTGACCCCTGATGCTCAACCTTCAACATGAACATGACTATGAACAAACCACTTGATCTCCTCGAGGTCACTTCTGGACCTGCTGAACAGTTTTAAGCGTTTTATTCCAATATCCAATATTGATAGTGCAAGCGTAGAAAACTGGTAGTTTTTGATCTTTCGCGTCTAGTCCTTAGGGCTTGGTTCCAGTTGTTCCGTTCACTCCTGCAGTGGACGAGGAAATCCCCTCTGCTTTTTTGCTTTTATCTTCGGTGAGGTGGATGTTTTGTGGGTTAGTAAGTTGTAATTTGTAGAGTGACTGGGGAGCTACGGGTTGCTGGGAAGCTTAGGGAACTGCCGTGACTCCTGTCTGTGTAGGTGCCTGAAAGAGAATAGTAAGGTAGTGGTAAAAGAATGGGGTTTCCTCGTGAAGATCATTGAGTTGCAGGCAAAACTGATTTGTTTGCATGGTCTGCCTGATGGGCGATCTTGTATGCCATAATGAGGTCACCCCTTTTCCTGCGATAACCCAAGGTAAATAGGTTGAGGTGTTTAAGTCTTTCAGGATACGTCTTTCCCCTTAGCCCCACAACTGATTTTGTTGCAGTTTTTGTATTCTTTCAAGGAGATTAGAGTCTCTCTTGAGTGTTGGAGGAGCCACCGTATTGAAGACCTCTAGGTGCGGCCGCACGTAGGATTTGAAAATGGTGAGGAAGAGTTCGGGAGTGAGGGCGCCAAGCTGTCTACGCAGAAAGTGTAGAATGGCGTTCGCTCTGGTTGTCATACCTTTGTAGTTGGAGCTGGTGTCCAAGGTGTCGGAGAAGTTGAGCCCCAAATCTTTCTCCATGGACACTCTGGTGATAGCACGGTTGCTCAACATGTACTGGAAGTCGGTCGTACTTGCCTCATTTTTACTGATGTGCATTACTTTGCACTTTTCCAGGTGAAGCTCAGGCCATTTTCCGACGACCAGAGCTCGAGTTGCTGCAAGTCCTTTTGTAGTGCTGCAAATCAGCTTCTTCGTTTACCACCCTCCAAATTTTTATGTCGTCAGCGAAGAGGAGGATGGGTGAGGATATTTTGTCTGGCAGATCGTTGACAAACAGGAGGAACAGAAGCGGTCCTAGGATTGCTCCTTGGGATACTCCTGACGTCGAGGGTCTCCACTCCGACCTTATTCTGTTCACTTTAGTGCAGAACTGCCTCCCTTCCAGGTACTCCTTGAACCAAGAGAGTAGGGGTCCACTTATACCAGCTGACATGATCTTGTGAAGCAGTACTGTGGGTGGGACACTGTCAAATGCTTTGGCTAGGTCGAGAAATACAACATGTACAGGTTTTCTATTATCCCAGCTTTGTGTCCAGTCGTCCCAGGCGGTTAGTAAGTTGGTGGCACATGAGCGACCACTACGAAAGCCGTGCTGAGCAGTGTGGACAGTGTTTTCCTATTGAGGAATTCCCAGATGGTGTCAGCTACCAGGCTTTCCAACACTTTCGACACAATAGGGAGTAGGGCAATTGGCCTGTAGCTGCCAGGGCTTTTTCTGTCTCCTCCCTTGAAGATGGGTGACAAGATGGCGCTCTTCCATTCTTTAGGGAGTTTGCACGAGTCTATTGAGTGCTCAAAGAGGTTGCGAAGTGGTTTGGTAAGCACCTCGGCGCAGTTTTTCAGAACCACTGGTTTCAGGTTATCGCAGCCAGGGGACTTGCCCGGACGTAGCCTAGATAGCTTCTCGAACACCTTTTTCTCTGTAATAGAGACGTGACAGAGGTATTCGTTATTTGCGACCTGGTCGGTGTCGTAGCGAGTCGGTGTGGATCTTGTGTCAGTGCTGAGTTGGGCTTGGAAGTGTGAGCTCAAAAGCTCGGCAATCTCTAGACTGCTTAGCACACTCCCGTCATGGCCTGTGACAAGATTCACTCCCTTACTGGTCGACTTTCTTCTTGACATGAAGCGGTACAGTTTTTGGGGTTGCTTTGTAACCTCGCTGCCAAGTTTGTTTGGTAGGAAAATCTGTCGTTACGCACTCTAATGTTACAGAGATTGCGAATCCTTTTGTAGTTCAGACTCCCTGCGTGATGTGCGCCACTTGAACCAAGCCTGCTTCTTGCTCCGGATAAGCCTCTCTGTCCCACGCTTTAACCATGAGGTTCTCATTGATTGTCTGTGTGTTACTTCTGGTACACTGTGACTGATGGCCCCAGTGATTATTTTCTTCACCTCCAACCAGTGTTCATCTATTGTGAGATGAGTCCAGTCCACTGGCCATGATGCATTCATGAGGTAGTCCCTCATGGTCTCATAGTTGGCCTTGCTGTAGCAAGGGAAGGTGTTGGGCGTCTCCAGTTGCAGAGCCTCCCTAGTTATCATGGAGAAGGTGATTACAGCGTGGTCACTGAGGCCAAGGGGAGGTTGGATGCAAACATCCTCAATGAGAAGTTCATCGTTCGTCAGAACGTAGTCAAGGCGCGATGCGTTTCCGTTAGGTCCCCAGCGTGTAGCATCACCCACTTTCTCTGAGAGGCCAGCAGTCTTAATTGCATCCTTCAGCTTCTGATTGAAGGATCTGATGCGTCTCCCTTCCGTCTCGAAGAGGATGGACGGGGTGTTGAAGTCGCCGGCAATGACTACGGAATCGTAATTTGCAGAGGAAGTCGTTAAGATAGCCTTGATGATCATTTCCTTATGTGTAGGGGAGCTGGTGGGGACCGATATATGACTCCGAGCAGGTATTTGGTACTGTGGAGAGTGAAGTAGCACCATAGGGACTCTGGGAGCTGGGTTAAGGCCGTATCGCTAACCATCCTTGCCTTTAAACAGAGTTTACGTAGATAGCCACTCCCCTCCTGCTCTATGTTCCCTGTCCCTGCGGAAGAGTTCCATGCCAGTAACATGCATCTCTTCGTCGGAGATGTCCGACGAGAGCCAGGATTCGGTGATGAATATGATGTCGGAGTGCTGATGTGCACGCAGCGTCCTCATTTCTGCTACCTTCCCTCTTAGCCCCCTAACGTTGCTGTACATACATATTAGAGTGTGCCTGGTGGGGGGAGGTCTGGTTGTGTATTTTCGCAGGATGAGCGCTTATGTGGTTGGGTCTACCCTCGCCAGTCCTCATAGGACTGGCATTGTTCCGTTTTTTGGTGTTTTGTTTTAACTTGGGTGGGGGCTGTGGCAGTGGTGGCTTCTTTACTTGATGTATCTAACTCACTGGTCAGCGCCTGTGTGACGACCACTGACTCCAGGGTCTTGGTGGTTGTCGTCTCTCCTCTTGCCTTGTGGGTCTAGGCTTACTTTCACATATACGTATTGAGCCACCCATGCGATCCTTCGCATTATACCATGCCTGTAGAACGTCTGTGAGGGAGGCATATGAGTCGAACTGGACGGCGAGTAG